GTGCGAAACATGGACAGTGGGCGCGGCCGAAAAGAAAAGGTTAGAATCGTTCAAAATATGGTGTTACAGGCGAATTATGAGGATATACCGTGGATAGAGAAGGTTAGAAATAAAGAGGTATTGGAAAGAATAGGAGAACAGAAGACTTTATGGAAGTCAATAAGAAATAGGCGAGATAGGTTGGTAGGACACCTTCTCAGGCATGAAGGTCTAGTCAGAGACATATTAGAGACAGAAACGGGAGTTAGGAAGGGTAAAGGTAGACCTAGATTAGATTACTGTTCGCAACTAGTTAAGGATGTGGGCGGTTCTAGTTTTAGGAAATGCGAAGATTAGCTCAGGATAGGAAAGAGTGGAGGTGCGTATCCAACCAGTCTTAGAACTGACGGCCTTATGGTGATGAATCTTTGTGAAGGCTTCTTGGGATTATTTTTTTTTATTTTAATTTGTTAGTGCAAATTGTAAACAGTCATGTATAACACAAACAATTTTATTGTTTGTAAGGGTTCAGGATTATTTTATGACATTATACGAAAGAAGAGTATTTAAATTAAATTATTCACAGGTTAATAAAATATGAAANACAGTCATGTATAACACAAACAATTTTATTGTTTGTAAGGGTTCAGGATTATTTTATGACATTATACGAAAGAAGAGTATTTAAATTAAATTATTCACAGGTTAATAAAATATGAAAATGAGAACTCGTACATATAACTAGATCACTTCGTGTTTTGCATACAATTGACTGTTGGAGGACATCAAGTCACGTGGCTCTCCGCAATGGTTTTGTTATTAAATTTTAATTGTGTTGTTGTTCAAAATTGCGTTTTACAAAGCTACAACAAACAGAACAGAATTTTGATTTAATTAAGTGAACAGTTTATTGTAAATTTTAAAAGTTTTGTACTTGGAAATAAAGAAGAAAATAATAAGAAATTAAATCATTACAGCACAAATAATATAATTTTTTCATATCTCGATTGCGGTGCAGCTACTGACTTAATAAACATTTTTTGTTTAATATTTATTTTTTTCATTATTAAAAATATTACGAATTCCATCCAACTTGGGGCTCAAAATGTTTGGAAAAACTGCGCAATTGAAATGGAGGAATTAATTTAGACTTAATCAAGTTTATTTAGGCTAATTATAAAGAAAACAAAAACGTTTAATGTAATTTTTACGGAAAACATGTAGTCTTGAATACCATCATCCTGTTACTTTTGGCATTTAACTTAAACGAATATTTTTAAC